TTGCATAATTTAAAACAGAATATTATGCTTAGGACAAATATGCATAAAATTAAACATTAAACTCATATTTTCCAAATAAATTGCATAACTTAAAGCAATTTACCATATGAGATTTTAAAGTATAAACTTAATATTCAAACATCGATGAGTTCAAACCAAAAGAGACCCAACATTTTGAATAATAATATACTGGATATATACTTTAAAATTTTGTTAAACTGGAAGCCCATGACAAAATGTTTGAATGCATAAAGATCAAATTTATGAGAAATAACTGAATTTACAAATTCAAACAATATCAAACCAAAAGGATATGCTAGCATTTGTAAATCAAAATCTCACAAACCCTAATTGCATAATTAAACTTAATATTATGCACTTAATGTGATTGAATGCATAAAACAATCTAGAAAGTATGAACCAACTAAAGAATATGAATTTATGCCAAATATTCATACTTAACCAAACATGGGCAATCAGAACTAAAATCATAATTCCAAGAACTAAATGAATTATGGAATTAATGGCAATAGTCAATTGCCTAGCAAATATGTTTTTTCAAGATTACTAAATTGATTCAAAATCACTCTCCATAACTCAGATAATAATATTATTATTATGAATGGCAAAATTGCAAATAACCAAAATAGCAATAAATAGTCATAACAATATTATCACATTATGTATGTAGGAGACTAAATATGGAAAAATAATGGTTAAAACCGCTAACTTTTATAAACGTTTTCGGATAAAATTTTGAAAACTTAATAAAATTTGAAGTCCGAAAAATATTAATGTCCAGAAAATTATTTTCTGAACTGGAGTATTGTCACATAAATTTATTTGGAAACAGTTTAAGATGCATATCTAAATACCATAACAATATTAATGTTATCATTAATTAATTATTAATAGCAATAAGTAACATTATAATCACTATTAACATTAGTAATGACAAACTAAAGTATGGTAATGCACTTTTAATGTTTTCATTTTCTAAAGATAAAATATGTGACTAGTCCAAATTAGCGGTTAACTGTAACTGTAGCACTAATTATCAATAACAACCATAAAAGATAATTAATGACTAACCTTAATGGTGCAAACCGCATCTGCCCATTGCGCTAACAACGATGACGATCCACAAGAGAAGAAAAGACTCCAGAATTCTCCCAATCTTCACTATCCCGTCAATAAACTCGATGCAGCGTCCAATGGTACGTTTAAAAATTTATTGGTAGGACTTAATTACCAACATTAATAATCGTGTAAAATGAAGTGGTAATCATGCCAATGTACCAAATATAGCAGATTACCATTAAATGCTAATTATTATGAAAAGTAATAAAATGAGATTAGCCCCTAAACTTAATAACAGTAATTAATAATGCTAATTAATAATAATTACAATAAAGGCAAAACTGTAATTAAGGGATGCCAAATACTAATCTCAATTTACCACATAATAATTAACCATGACTATTATGATACTTAGGGAGACTGAAGTTAAGGTAATAACCAAATTTACCATTATACTAACAATATAAACTATATTGCTTTTGCCATAAAATTAAAGACTTAATATTATTATTAAGGCCCTGAAAACTACTGATAGATTAAAAATTAATCAACTTAAATAATAGTTTGTAATTCTTAATGGCCAAAATAACAATTAAATCCTTAATCCTTAATGTCTCAAAATAGATCAAGACAATAATTATAGCACTTAATTACTCAAATTAGGCTCATAAACCTCAATGGCCTAAGTGAATTATAACATGGATGAAAAATGGTCTAATACTGAAGTAGACCCAAAACTTAATATTATTACCAACGATGAATACTAAAATATAGTAGTTAGTAATAATTAAAACTTAATAAACATGTTATAAGGACCTCTAATTATTATTAAAATATCAATCAAAATGGTAGGATCCATACTTTAATGACCCAAAATAGGTCCCAAATAGCTTGTTCAAAATAGGTTCTAAAGTCCTAGAGACACATAAAACAAAAATGTGCTCAAATTAAAGGGAAACCAAACAAGCTGCTTTAGTAGATCATAATGTCCAAAATTGACATAAAGATCCAAAATTGAACGATATTTAATAATGAATTTATGAGTTAATAATATGTTAAATCCAACCTTAAAACATGCGTTTCTAAATGCATAATTATTATAACAATAAAATTATAAAAAAAAATACTTAGCATGCTTGGATTTTGCATTTAACTCATATATATCCTAAACAAATTGCAATACTTCAGGCAATTTAATATGAACCTCAATATTAAATTAAAATTCAAAGAGCAAATTCAATACATAATATTTGCTAAATATTGAATAGTAATTTAATTATGGATTTAATGCCAAAAATTAAGAGGGAACTAAAGGGCATTAATATCTGAAAACAAGCAATTACCATATATTTACCATTTGCTAAGAGTAATATTCAATATTAATTAAGGAAATATTAATATGGTAATATCAAACCAAATAATTACCATTTACCAAAATTAATATATATAATATTAACTAAAGCAAACATTAATATGGTAAATAAATATAAAATAATGGTAATTACCTTAATGACTTGCGTGTTCTCCCAGGAAATTCCAAGTCAAACAACCAAAGCCAAAACAATGGATATAATTAATATTTCGAAGTCCAGATGAAATATGAAAATAACTGTGCTTCATGTTGAATTTTTTTTTTTTTTTTTTCAAAAAAAAAAAAAAAACACAACTACAGTACGTTAATTCATTCTACACATACAAGAAAAATTATATAATTGTATGCTGATTTTGAAATATTAATATAAAACATATACGAAAAACCCTTAATGTATATGAAAGAAATTAATGTTGATCGTAGGCAACTCAATCAACCAGACAGAGATTATAAAGGCTCTGATACCAAATGTTAGATATACAATAGTCTAACTATATGAACCATAGTATACGAGAAACCTAACCTCGTATGATAGCGGAAGCGTAGCCGTGTTGATCTCCAGCCATAGTTGATGTTCCTGTTGTGTTGCCTCTTAACGGTAGACCGTCAGCCATGTTTTGCCTCAGACCTGACTCAGAACCCTAGATGGTGTATTGGTATCTACTGAGCGGTCTGAGTACCGTAACTGAATGTGCTATCTAATCCATAATCCTGTATCCCATCAATCCAGGTTATATTAGGCACAGAGTTTGGTTGACTAACAACTACTAGTTATTAAGTCCAACCAGACCACTTAATAAACCTAGTCAACTTACACCACTTAATTAAGGCCCTAATATATAATATATAATATATATTATTAGGGAAAATCTTACACACCAGACGAATAATCTACTAAAAAAAAGTAGGTGGCAAGAAATTTCCACGGTCAATGTAGCCCGTCTACACCTAAAGTGTTATAAGTTGATGTCAAGTGAAAAGAAATTATAAATTATAATTATAAATATTAAATAAAAAAAAAAATTGCGGTGCAGAAAGTTTGGGCGGGCTTAAACTGCACTGTCTTGAAGTCTTTCTCTTTTGTCATTTTGGGAGGATATTGTAGGAAACCAATCGTTATACCATGTATCAAGATATGTGTATGTGTTTTATGTTGTGAGTTTTTGTGTTACGAAATTTTGTAGTTAAAACAAATAGTACTATGTAATTGTGTCTTGTGTTGTAAGTATACCTAAATCAGATTTGAAAATGAATAAATATATATAATGTGTATATGTCTTGTCACTCTTGTGATATGATTTTTTAGGTCTTGTGTTATGAAATTCTGTATCTCGTCGTTTTGATTCAAGATCGAAAATACTATGTGGACCCTAGCTAATGATATAAGATCCCGTATGAAATATGATCGGTCATATTGTGTATTTAAAACTAAGCTACAAGTTTTTGAAAAATAAAAACGCCAAGATTTTATTTGTAAACTACAAGCTTTTAAGTATTTCACTATAGTCTTTTAGATTGAGATCTTCCGTTTTGTACCTCTACCATTTGTAGCTGTTTTGGCTCCACCTTACTAAGTCCTATTTTAACATTTATAAATTTTATAAAGAAAAAAATTACGTAAAATTTTTGGACTTGTTGAATTGCAGGTTTGTCAGCCGGCCTTTAGTTCGTGGAGAACAATAAGAAAGAGTAATAATAGCAGGAAGAAAAGAATAAAGAATAGAGAAAAGTAATTCTTATTATCATCAAATCTGTACAATATTACAATTATATATATAATCTCTCTATCATAATAGCCTTTAGGACTCTAAGGAATCCTTCCGTATTAAGAATCCTATCATAAATATAAAGCTAGAATAATGTCCACATAAGGCTTTACAACACTCCCCTCGGACATTATTTTGCCATAACCATGCCTTGTTAAAAACTTGCTAGGAAAATCCTGTGGCAAAAACCTAGACAAGAAAAAAGTACAATAGAAAATATATTCATGCCTCATTAAAAATTTCACTAAGAAAATCGCGTGGGAAAAACCTAATTGAAGAAAAGAGTACATGATATATGTAAAAACATATATTGTATTGGTCGCCTCATTAAAAACCCTAACTTAAGAAAATCCTGTGGTAAAAAAGAAGTTAAGAGAAAAAGAGTACAACCATAAGCCTTCAGGGCATAATGGACATAATCTTCAGGATTTTGATATTGAGATTACTGAATTGTCCATTTATTTAACACCAATTTGACAGAATAACAAATGGGTGACTAAATTGAGTAACAATACAAAAGTTTGGGACTACATTAGATCTCCAAAATCATTTAGTACGAAATTAAGAAAAATCACTATAGTCAAGGACCATTATAGGTATTAACTCAAAAAATATTAAACCATAATTTTTTTGAAAACCAACAACGAAGAATATATATTAAACCAAACCAGAAAGAAAATGAGGGGAACAGTCTCCCAACTCATATGACCAGACTGAGAGCCGACCGTTTTAGCTAATGCATGGGCGGGCTGGTTCGCTGATCTAGGAAATTAATCTAACGAAATTGCAAATACATTTTCTCTTTCAAATTATACCTGCATGCATATCCGATCCGTGCACATACATATTTCTGAATTTATTTCTTAATTAAAAACTATTTTTTCATCACGTACTAACAACATACGATGAAGTTCTTAACTTCTGCTTATTTAATCATCTATAAGTACACATTTTTTTGGTTCATCATCTTCTTTGCTTTTGATATTTATGGGCGTGCTCAACCTCCACATCAACATTCAACACAACCTGGTCCTGCAACGCCAAGATATAGAATTAAGAATGAAATAGAAATTACTAATACACAACACTATAAAGAAGTACATAATTGCTGCAACAATTTTTTTTTTTTTTTTTTTTGAACTCGAAAAGAAAAGAAAGAAATATTATTATAAACTTCAAAATATTAGTCCTTATTTTTTCTGAGTTAATACCTAATTTAGTTCTCGACTATAGTGATTTTTCTCAATTTAGTCATAAACGTCTTTTTGTGCTTAATAAGGTCATCGAATTTGATAGTTTTACCCAATTAAATCCTTAGCTGTTAGAATCAATGACTAAATCTATAAAATAACTATAGTTAAAGACTAAATTAGGTAAAATCACTATAGTCGAAGACTAATTTGGATAAAACTACTAAAGTTGATGACTAAATTAGGTATTAATAGGACTCAATTGGATAAAACCGTTAAAATCAAGGACTAAATAAAAAAACATCACTATATATAGTCGACTAAATTAAGTATTAACTCTTTGTTCTTCTTATTTGATAAAACTAATCCTGCTCATTTTCTTCTTATTTTATAACAACCCTCAACCGATGATATAACTAAATACTAAGTAGATTAGTATCACATCCATTTCAAGTGAATACAACTTAGATGGGAGTAAATTTGGTGAATAATAAGTATGCAGTTTTTTTTTTGTCTGAAATTATCAATTCCATCGCTGAAATGTGCTTTTTTTTAGTTGTTTACATACCTCCTGGTGAATGATGGTCTCCGGGACCGATTTCGCACAGCTGTCTTCTAGCTGCAACAATTTATTCATTATTTATTATGAAAAAATTTCTTGCATGACATACAAAATCACTACTGGAAATTATGAAATTTCCGACCACTTGAAAGTGATCTTAAATCAAGTTGATACCAAAAAGTGGTCGGAAATAGCAACTAAGATTTTTCCGGATACGAAAATTGGTCGGAACAAGACTTTTGACTTGATTTAAGATCACTTTCAGGTGGTCGGAAATTCCATAATTTCCCGTAGTGAATGTTTTCAATTTTTATTAATCATAAACATGCGGAATCAATGAGTAAAACAATATTAAATAATAGTTATGATACAATATAATTAATGATATAAAATATGCATGTGGCTAAGAGTTGTTTGTGTATGTTTGTTTGAATTGATTCTACCAAAATAAAAATAGTATAAATATGGAGAAGATGAACAGTACTTACCAAAGAGAAATGCCATCATCATCATCAGAAGGACCAAGAGAAATGGGATATTTGGCAATTTGGGTGTGATAGTCATCTTAATTAATTGCAGTATATATGTAGGAGAAACTGAAGAGCAAAGAGATTTGGTTGATGATATATAATGGAGCTTTATGACTCAATTTATAGTCATCCTCTTTTACTAAATCAACTATATGTGCCACCAAATGAAAGAGATTTGTTCCCTCAAAAAAAAAAAAAAAAAAAAGCATCAAATAAAGGCCAACTAGGTGGCAAGAAATTTCCATGCATCCACACTGTGATAAGTTGGAGTCAAGAGAAAATATTAAGTTCAAAATTTGCAGCGAAGAAAGTCTAGGCTCACTTAAATGGCATTCACTTGAAGTCTTTCTCTTCGTCATTTTTGGAGGATATGGTAGGGACTAGGGAGTATGATCGGCCATATTGTGTAAGTATTTAAAAATAAGCTACAAGTTTTTGTAATATAGAATATAAGTTTTGACATTTTCTCGGTAGACCGAAGATTGATTAAACAATAGTTCTAATTCCCTTTATTACTCTGAAATGGTAACTTTATGAATAATCTACCATCGTTACTTTATAAACTGATAATAGTGATTTTATAAGTCTACAATAATTACTTAATAAACCTACACTAGTCTGGAAATTAAAATTCGGTGCGTGGAAAAAGTGACGTTGTTTCTCTGAAAAATCCTGAAGAATAGTGTTCTTGTCAATGGTGAAAGGTGGAGATGTGGGTTAACTGAAGATGGAGACTATCCTTGCTGTGCCTAATGAGCAAGTTTTTAATAATGTGCTTGTGCCAGCCAGCGAAGCGATGAGGCGGTCACTTAAGGACGCTTCAAAAGCCCAAACAATTCCTCTTGAAGCACAACAACCTCACGCTGGGTAGACAAGTCTGGGTTAGTTGGACCCCTTCAGATGACGGGTTCGTCAAACTCAATACAGATGGAGGGAGGAAGGCAAGCTCAGGTATGGCTAGCGCGGGTGGTGTCATTCGGGACCACATAGGCACTTGGATTGTGGGGTTCATGTCTAAAGTTGGTATCACGAGTGAGCAGTTTCATCGTAGATCGGAGCTGTGGGGTTTAAGGAAGTGGCTCATCTTGGCTAAAAATCGTGTTATGGACAAAGTGGTGGTGAAAATAGATTTGGAACAATGGTTCATGTGGTCAAAGGTGAGGACGAGTCTTGTCCTGAGGCCAATACCCTTATCGTTGATTGTAAGATCATCATAGAGCAAATTAGGCATTGTAACATATTTCACGTATGTAAAAGGGAATTTGGGGGACCTCAATTTTGGAAGACCCCATTGATGCAATAAAAGTCCCTCTCATGGCACCAGACGAATCTACTAATTCTCGGGACCTTAGGTTTCTCCAATGCACCATAAAAAAAAAAAAAAGTAATGATAATTAATGAACTCGTGTCTTCGTTATGCTGTTTCCATTTTTTTTTTTTTTTTTTTTTGAAAGGAAGCTGTTTCCATTTTCAAATGTTTTGACGAAATTTGTATCCGCAAAGAAACGGAAATTTTGCGCTGGGGAAAGAAGAAAGAAATTTCTTTGCAATTGTCATTTGGAAGAATTTACACATACACAATGAGTCACTGACATCGTGGATCAAGTCAATTTTGTATGGTGGATCATAGTTTAAAAGGATACCGACTTACATTAAGTATCCTAATGTATCATGTTTAACAACATTATCATGTTTTAAATTCATAATATTTGTTCAATCTTTTAATGAACTTAACTTAATGTAAATAAACATTAAAATGCATGTATTTCATATGTATTTCCATTCACTTTATAATAAGCCTAATAGGTTCATAATTTTTCTTTTATATGTTCATAAAAATAAAACTTAATATACATAAACAGGATACTAAAATCACATCATGTTTAATATCATTCATTATTTACTATGCTCATAATATTTACTTTATATGATCATAAACATAAACTTTAACGTACATAAATACAAAATACTAATTAACGGCATGCACATCATATCTATTTCAATCCACTCTAAAGAGGTTCATAATGTTCTTTTCATATCTAAAAACATAATAAGCCTCAATGAAAATTATATCTTAATTTATATCCATATTTTTATTGCTAATTATTTTGTACAATGTGCTTTTAGAGTTGTACAAGATAATTTTTTGGCTTCATTTACTTTCTCATCATAAGTCTATGAGTGGGTTTATAAGGATTAAAATTAGCTTGACCAAGTCCACACAGGCTAATTAACTCAATGGTTCAGACGTTCAGTAATCAGTATTTGGGAGAATAGATCAAAGTTGGGAAAATGATTGAAATGTGAAGGAAGAAGCATGTATTTCTCAAAATGTGACTGGTCATTTTTATGGACAAAAATATGAAAATGACGTTTGGGACATACGTTTGATGTCAGACCACAAACGCAAGTCCCACTAGGGTTTTTTTTTTTTTTTTTTTTTTTTTTTTTTTTTAATTTGGTCTTTGCAACCAGCGACTTCTCCGACGGCGTCGCCGACTTCTCTAGCGAAGGAGAAGGCCGCCGCCAGTGGTTGCCTTCTCCGTCGCTAGAGAAGCCAGCGATTATGTTACAAGTTAAAGATTTAGCCAATAATATAATATACATATAATTTTACTTCTTTTTTTTTTTTTTTAGTACTACGGGCTCCGTTAGAAATGTAGTATCTATTTATAATTACTTTCTCAACCGTGAAGCACAAAAAGTCACTTCCCATCTAGAAGAGACACTTCATGCATGCCACTATACCACATTACCACAAGACAAGATCATTGGCATATTTAATTTTACTTAGATCAAGCATAATTTCAAATGAACTGCGAGCAACTATTGTTCTTGATGACAATTTACAACAACAACGGGTTTAAACCATTCTCTATGTGCATTTTTCTTACCATACCGTGCTTTATCTCATTGAGTTATGCTTTTGTAATCAATTCTTATGAATATACAATTCATTGATTGAGTGATCCACGCTCCGTATTATTATTCTTAGCTTCTTGTTGACATTCTACCTTGATATCTCAAATTATTATGATTGCATGAACAATTGATCCATATATAACCCCAATCATAGAAAATTAATAATCATATTTAAAACTTCAAAAGAAAAGTACAACAAAAACAAAGATTCAAAAAAAAAAAGAAAAAAAAAAAAGTACACTCAAAACATTGATGTATCAAATCACAATTCAAAATAGCAAACAAACAAATACTGATACACATTAAAACGCAAAATAAACAACAGTTTCACATTCAGTAAATATATGGTTCCTTCTTTTAAGCAATTAATCTTATTTTTTATTTTTTAAAATTTTATTCTTCACCCTTCTGCATGGGCCGATTTGATCGAGCGATGTATATATATATATATGTTTCCTTCTTCTGCCTCTGTGCTACAATTGTGGCGGTGCTCAAGTTCTAATGCAATGTGGAGCTGCAAACACCATTAGAATAATAAGCTAAGTGAATTAGAGAATACAAATTAAATCAAATATTCATTATTATATAGTACAGTGAAGCTCTGTGTCTCTCCACTTCGTACTCATAGATATTTCAATTTCAGCTCTCACGGGCTTAACTTAATGGTTCAGTAAGCAATATTTAAGAAAAGAGACTAATGTTTGAATCTCGGTGGCGACAGTATTAAGATTATGCCTAAAGTGTACAAATTCCTTGTGCACACAGATATTTGGCCATGTCTGCTGAGCTATAAAGTCATTGTGATTTAGGGTGTGTTTGGTTGGTGGGTTTTGTCCATAGGAATGTGTATGAAAGTGATTGTTGTTGTTTGGTTGATAGGTTTTTAAAACACTACTATTTGTTTCAAATACCCCATCAATTGAAAAACTCATACCCAAATATAATAAGGGTTTCATTCCCTTATTCATTCTCAAGCACTACTATTAGTAACCATTCTCATTCCACCCCACTACCAAACATGTTAAATACTTTCACCAAAACACATTACCATTACCAAGTATTTGATACCCATTCTGATTCCGATTCCTATATGCGAACCAAACACACCCTTATATGCTTCCAAATGTTCTATTGGGTCAGGGTGTAAAGCCTTGGCGTTGGGAATTCAACCTTTTGGAGAAGGTATTTGAATTCGAGTGGCCTCTTCCAAATTTAAAGCTGAGCTTGTGCGTATATATGCTTAAAAGCTTGGCAAGCCCGCAGTAACTAATTGAAAATATATATGTAGGAGAAATCAATATTTTGGTCCATCAATTGTTTCTTACTTATAGATATAGTTTTTAGTTTTCAATTTTAACTAACTTGATTCTCGAATTGTTTAAAATTGTTTGAAATAAACTTTTTTAGGAACTAAATTGATGAAATCTTAAAAAAAAAAAAGTGAGAATCACCATTTTGGTCCCTGAAATGGTTAATTGACGAAATTTTAAACAACTCGATGCTCAAATTGATTAAAATTGAAAAATAGTTTCGACTATAGTGGTTTTTCTTAATTTAATTTAGTTCTAAATGTCTTTTTATGCTTAATAATCGAATTTGATAGTTTTACCCAATTAAGCCCTTAGCTGTTAGAATCAATGATTAAATCGAAAAAAAAATCACTATAGTTGAAGACTAAATTAGGCAAAATCACTATAGTACAAGACTAACTTGGGTAAAACTACTAAAGTTGAAGACTAAATTAGGTATTAATATGACTCAATTGAATAAACTATTAAAATTGAGGACTAAATCGAAAAAAAAAAAATTCAACTTTCAAATTGTTATCATTTGTGGTCCAAGTTAACCACATGATGTTTCAAAATTTAATTAGTCGTGGTCCTCATGGATGAACCATAGGTGGTTGAAATTTCATAGTTGAAGGACCATGGTGGTTAATTTGGACTACGAATGGTGTAACAATTTGAAAGTCGACGGACCACAGATTGTCAATTTGAAAGTCGAAGGACCACAGATGGTCAATTTGAAAGTTTAGTTCGCTAAAATGAGCTCTTAGTTGTTTACATACCTCCTGGTGAGAAATATTCTGGGGGTGCATTTGCCTGCTGCGGTCGCGGGATGCCTGCAACGTTACTGACTCTATTACAATGTAATATCTATTCATCATAAATTACTCTAATGAAGTACAAAGAGGCCAATGCCGCCTCCGTTAAGGCTCAAACTCATGACCTTCCATATGAAAATTCAACCTTAGTGCCATTAGACCAGAAGGTCTTGGGAACAATTTATTCATTATTTATACAAAGTGTTTTAAATTTTTCTTAATTATATCATAAGCATGCACAATCAATGAGTAAAACAATATTAAATAATTAATGACATAAAATATGCATGTGGCTAAGAGTTGTTTGTGTTTGTTTGAATTGATTCTTCCAAAGTAAAAAATAGTATAAATATGGAGAAGATGCATAGTACTTACAAAATCGAGCTGGGTAGGCAGAAATAAAGAGAAATGCCATCATCATCATCAGAAGGACCAAGAGAAATGGGATATTTGGCAATTTGGGTGTGATAGTCATCTTAAATGCAGTATATATGCATGTAGGAGAAACTGAAGAGCAAATAGATTTGGTTGATGATATATGGAGCTTTATGACTCAATTTATAGTCATCCTCTTTTACCATGTGCGACCAAATCAAAGAGACTTGTTCCCTCAAAAAATAAAAAAAATAAAAAAAATAAAAAAATAAAAATCAAGGAGACTTGCACTGGCGACTTGGCGTAAGTCATGCATCCTCGATTTCCATTTCCATGCATGTAGGACACGAGTAATAAATATGATGTTTTTTTTTTCCTCATCAATTGAGAATAATTGGCCAAGCACCTTGTGCTTAGATGACATGTAGTGACATCTCCCATGTGGGAGATCATGAGATTGAGTCTAGTGGAGGCGTTGTTGACTCTTTGTACTTGACTCTTTGTGCTTCATTAGCTTGAGAAAGTATATTTGAAATATGTTAGAATTCTAACGAGTTAATACCTAAAATGGTGTTCGATTAGAGTGGTTTTTCTCAATTCCATTCTAACGAACTTTGGTGTTCGATTAGAGTGGTTTTTCTCAATTCCATTCTAACGAACTTTGTTGACTTAATATAGTCTTCAAACTTTTGTGTTGTTACTCAATTTAGTACTCTATTTGTTATTCCACCAAATTGGTGTTAAATAAAGGGACAATTCAATAATCTTAATATTGGTCTCTTTTTACTTTAATCTCAGTCATGTAATGAGAAATTCCTCTTTCTTTCATGAATTACTCACAGACCTGCGAATAAGCTACAAGTTTTTGTAAAATAGAATATAATTTTTTGATATTTTCTCAGTAGACCGAAGATTGATTAAACAATAGTTCTAATCCCCTTTATTGCTCTGAAATGGTAACTTTATGAATCTACCATTGTTACTTTATAAACTATAATAGTGATTTTATGAGTCTACAATAATTACTTAATAAACCTACACTAGTAATCTTATGAACATGCAATAGTGACTTTATAAATTTGGTTAAATCAACGCCCAACTCGATTGAGTCAGTTCTTAACTTGGTCAAGTTAGCGCTCAACTCGACAAAGTGGTTACTTTTGCTTGATTGGTTGTTCATCTTCTATATTCTTCTAACTATGTACTAAATTGACCATTTAACATATATAGTTGACTAGATTGATTGTGGGATTATAATAGTGTCTACCTTGTATTGTCACATAATTTGTTAAGTGTTGGTATATAATATATTAATTGTAAACACATAATTTGAATGTCATTTTGAATGAGGGTCCATAATACAAGGTGGACCTAGTCTATAATATTATTTACCTATCGTAATTTTACTAGCTCATTCACTATCTTATTGGGTTGTGGGATGTGAGAACCCTATTGAGAAAGAATCAAAGAATATTACTTTTTGTGGACAAAAGAAGCATGAAATTTAAGTGGTGCCATTGATGACAAATTACACCTAAGGAGCGAGGTCCACTTTGTATTATGGACTCTAGTCCAAAATGACATTCAGATTATGTGTATGCAATTAACATATTATGTGCTTGTAAATAAATTGAAGGTAAATAATATGTTAAATACATACACATAATATGCCGTTAACATATTATGTGCTCACAATTTACTATTATGCACATTTAGTTAATATATTATGTGTTTGTAGTTAACAAATTATGTGGCTTCAATTTATTTACATAGACATAGTGTATTAATTGAAGACACATAATATATATATTATATATATATATATATATATATATATATATATATATATATATATATATATAAGACACAATATATTAATTGTAAATAAATAATTTTTAGACCAAAAGTCCATGATGCAAGATGGACCTTCCATTTGGAAAAGTTCAAATTAGAGTTCTCCAAAAACATACACAAAGTTAAAGAATGGAGAGAAGTAAGGCAATTGGGGAGATGATTTAGTAAACAAATTTTCCATTTTCCATTCTTTCACTTCTCAAATTCTCAATTTTTTTCAAAAAATTCTTCATTTTTTCAATTTGATAAACAACCCCTAAACGCTGCGGCGTGTGGCATGACCTGCGAAGTGCGAAATTCTTAATGGTCCTCGACTACAATGATGTTTTTTTCAATTTCGTCTTAAACAATTTTGGTGACCTAATGTAGTTCTGGACTTTTGTGTTTTTGCTCAATTTAGTCATCCGCTTGTTATTTCGTCCATTTGGTGTTAAATTGATGGACAATTCAATAATTTCAATATTGACATCTCTTCACTCCTAGACCTGTGAGAAATCCCTCTTTCTTTTACGAATTACTCTCTGAATTACTCTCAAACCTGCAAATATGAAATTTGATTCGCAGGTTTGAGAAATTCGTAAAAGAAAGAATCCTTACTATCATCGAATTTGATAGTTACATTTTATCCAATTAAATCCTTAGCTGTTAGAATCAATGACTAAATCTAAAAAATCACTATAGTTGAATACTAAATTAGGTAAAATCACTATAATTGAAAACTAACTTAGATAAAACTACTAAAGTTGAGGACTAAATTAGGTATTAAATAAGACACAATTGGATAAAATCGTTAAAATCGAGGACTAAATAAAAAAAAACATCACTATAGTCGAGTAAATTAAGTATTACCTCTTTGTTCTTCTTATTTTATAAAACTAATCCTGTTCATTTAATTTTCTTCTTATTTTATAACAACCCTCAACCGATGGTCTAACTAAATACTAAGTAGATTAGTATCACATCCATTTCAAGTGAAAGGAAAATAAAATACGAGAAAGAAAAATCTCTATCTTTATTTATCAAAAAAATGCGTTCACACAGGAAAAATGCTAAGTTATGATTGGCCAAAGCTCTATAACTTTATTATATAGAAGATTTATACCCATCCTCATTTACTTTTTCCGTGAACATTGAAAACGAAAGGACTAATGACAAATTAAGGCTAAGGAGACTTGATTTACTTTCTCACAAGTCTAGGAGTGGGTTTATAAGGATTAAAATTAGCTTGATCAAGTTCGCATGAACTTAACTCAATAGTTTAGTAGTCAGTATTCGGGAAAATAGACTAAGGTTCGCACCTCAACGACGGTAATGTGAGGCCACTCACCAGCACAATGCTAAGTCATCGAGCTTCTGTGATTTATGTCCTTCCAAATATTCTGTCAAGTCGGGATATATATATGGAGGGTCCTTGGAGATTCAACCTTTTGAGAGAAGAAAATTAGTTTGACAAAATTGGAATACATGCCATGATTTCAATTTAAAAAAATAATTTTTTTTTTTTTAAAAAGCATCAAATAAAGGCCAACTAGGTGGCAAGAAATTTCCATGCATGGTAGGTGTGCCCCGGCTTCACACTATGATAAGTTGGAGTCAAGAGAAAATATTAAGTTCAAAATTTGCAGCGAAGAAAGTCTAGGCTCACTTAAACTGCATTCACTTGAAGTCTTTCTCTTTCTCATTTTTGGAGATATGGTAGGGACTAGGGAATATGATCGGCCATATTGTGTACGTATTTAAAAATATAAGCTACAAGTTTTTGTAATATAGAATAGAGTAAATACCCAAAATGGTCCGATCCCTCGACTATAACTAAATTCACAAATTGGTCCTCAACTTTCAATTTCAACCAATTAAGTCCTTAACTTTGTAATTTTAACACAATTTGGTCCTCTGTCTATTTGACCGTTTGTTGACTGTGATTTTTAAGGATATATATGTAATTTCATGGTCCATCATCGGTTTTTTAAGGTTCCGATTGCATTTCCAGACCGCATTGTTACATTCGAATCCACTGCCGAAAGCAATCTACCAAATCCGGTCGCCTTTCTTCATCCTCCCTTTGGATTCAATGTAGTTGAGTTCGTACCAGAGCGAAGAAGACGACGTGTTTCCGAACCGGTGCAACGTCATCCTGGAGGCCTCCACGTGCTCCGACGAAGCTAAAGGTTCTTCTGGAGATCGTCGATCACGGTCAACAAATGGTCAAATAGATGGAGGACCAAATCGTGTCAAAATTGCAAACTTAAGGACTTAATCGGTTAAAATTGAAAGTTGAGGACCAATTTGTGAATTTATCTATAGTCGAGGGACCATTTTGGGTATTTACTCTATAGAATATAATTTTTGACATTTTCTTGGTAGACCAAAGATTGATTAAACAATGGTAACTTTATGAATCTAACATTGTTACTTTAGAAATTGATGATAGTGATTTTATGAGTCTACAATAATTACTTAATAAACCGACACTAGTAACCTTATGAGCATGCAATAGTGACTTTATAAACTTGGTTGAATCAGTGTCCAACTCGACGGAGTTAGCGCTCAACTTGACTAAGTGGTTATTTTTGCCTGATTGGTTGTTCATCTTCTATATTCCTTCAACCATGTACTCAACTAACCATTTAACATATATGGTTGACTAGATTGTGTGATAATAACAGTCTAACAACTGCAAAGTCTTGAGCGTAAAAAATAGAGATGATATACTCGAATTACTCGACCGCGCGCCTGATCGACAAGCACCCGGCGCCTTTTGCAATATTGAAACCTCTAATGAGCCCCTGACCTTGATCAATTGTCATACCATGGACGAAGGTCTACCTTGTATTGTTACATAATTTGCTAACTGTAGGTATATATTATATTAATTCCAGATACATAATCTGAATGTCACTTTGAATCAGGGTTTACAATACAAGGTGGACCTGGCTAGTCTATACTATTATTTGCCTACCGTAATTTTACTCATTCACTCATTACTACAGAATTCACATACAACGTCGGGCCTTTAACGTCGGCTATATACATAGCCGACGTTAAAAACATTTTAATTATTTTTTTTAAAATTAAATTTATAACGTCGGCTATTTATTAATAGCCGATGTTATAAATAAAAAATTAAAATATAAAAGAAATAAATAACCTACGACGTCGGCTGTATAAATAGCCGACGTCGTAGGTTGTTTAAAAATTATTTATATATAACGTCGGCTAATTCCTATTAGCCGACGTTATATACTAAAAAAAAAAGAAATAAATATAATACGACGTCGGCTAAC